CTAGTTAGATAGGTTCTCGGCACGCTGGATTTAGGTACAGAACCGATTAGGATATGCCTATATAAGGCAACGCTTGTGTGTGTCGTTGACCGGAAATCTCTGCCGTCGCGAGAAATCTGCTCCGAGATAAATCGAGCCAGTCGCGAAAAGTATCGCATATGATATTCGCGGTTTTTAAATATTTTAACGAATAAAATTCCGATTGTATGTTAGAGATCAATCCGCATCAATAGTGGATATAATGGAGGATATTAAATTTAAGATAGAAGGAGAGAAATGGAGAAAAATGCAATGATTGATGATACGTCGCTCAATTATTATTTTCGTTTTCGATAAACGTCTAAAAATAAAAAAAAAAAATATATATATATATATATATATATATATATATATATATCTTTGCGCTCAATCGACGTTTGCCGATCTCGTCAATTATTTTAACCGTCGCATCTCTCTTCTGCTCTACCTACTCCAAAGTTAACGATCTTTCAAATGGAGAGCGACGGAAGTTTCCATAAGAGATGTCAATTTACTCTTCCATCTCCATAAATTTTTATCATCGGGCCGCGCGCGATTCTACATTCTTTTGGATCCGTCAACGGATGCAAAAGCAGGACGAACGCGAAGAACTGACAAGGGTGGAGAGGCGAGGTGATCTCTAGCGCAATCGTCGAAAACTTTATCATGATTCTCGACAAAGCTACCGGGATAAAGACAGAGAGATCAAAGAACGATCCGGCATTGCGTTTCTCTTACACATGCACTCGGTGGCGGCAGCGCATCTCTATCATCTGCAATGCGCCTTCTTCATGGTATGTACATACATGCGGGAGATGCTCGTTCCATTAACGTTATAACGTCAGAATAACGCAAAGAGGGTCTTGAAACACGTGACAATGCGCGATGCTCTCTTTCTCGGCGCGATGCAAAATATTTTGACAAGGCGTCGAACATAAGGTGTTACTCGACGCGCTCCACTTTTGCCAAAACTTTCGCACGCGCCTCCGTTAAAGCTACACTGAGGAAAAATCTGGTTGCATTAATTAGAATTCTGGTAGATTCAACCAGTCTGTTGAAAAATGGGCGAAACAGAATTCTTGTAGGAATTACCAGATGAATCTGATTAATTTCTTCCTGTTCAATTTATCAATTTTCTCGGTAATAATATACTAAACTCACCAGCACCAAGTCGTCTAACATTTTTTTCCAATCTAATCTCAAAAGTCTGTTTAATATTTTGAATTCCAACAGATTATTGCATAAATTCAATCCAGATTATTGAATAAATTATTTTAAATTCAATTTGTTAGAAATTAAACTGATAAACAGTGATGCAAGAAGAGCTCAAACACACACAATCAGAGGAGCTAGCGTCCTCTTTGTGGTACTATTGCTCGTAAGAGAAAAAATATATACTTTGGATTTAATGTTAATACACTGAGAAAAAAATTTGGTTGAATTAATTAGAATTCTGATAGAAGCAATCAGTATGTCTGTTGAAAAATGGACGAAACAGAATTCTTGTAGGAATTACCAGATGAATCTGATTAATTTCTTCTTGTTAAATTTATCAATTTTCTCGATAATAATATATTAAACTCACCAGCACCAAGTCGTCTAACATTTTTTCCATCTAGTCTCAAAAGTCTGTTTAATATTTTGAATTCCAACACGATTATTGTGCATAAATTCAATCCAGATTATTGAATAAATTATTTTAAATTCAATTTGTTAGAAATAAACTGATAAACAGTGATGCAAGAAGAGCTCAAACACACACAATCAGAGAAGCTAGCGTCCTCTTTGTGGCACTATTGCTCGTAAGAGAAAAAATATATACTTTGGATTTAATGTTAATACACTGAGAAAAAAATCTGGTTGAATTAATTAGAATTCTGATAGAAGCAATCAGTATGTCTATTGAAAAATGGACGAAACAGAATTCTTGTAGGAATTACTAGATGAATCTGATTAATTTCTTCTTGTTAAATTTATCAATTTTCTCGGTAATAATATACTAAACTCACCAGCACCAAGTCGTCTAACATTTTTTCCATCTAGTCTCAAAAGTCTGTTTAATATTTTGAATTCCAACACGATTATTGTGCATAAATTCAGTCCACATTATTGAATAAATTATTTTAAATTCAATTTGTTAGAAATTAAACTGATAAACAGTGATGCAAGAAGAGCTCAAACACACACAATCAGAGGAGCTAGCGTCCTCTTTGTGGTACTATTGCTCGTAAGAGAAAAAATATATACTTTGGATTTAATGTTAATACACTGAGAAAAAAATCTGGTTGAATTAATTAGAATTCTGATAGAAGCAATCAGTATGTCTGTTGCAAAATGGACGAAACAGAATTCTTGTAGGAATTACCAGATGAATCTGATTAATTTCTTCCTGTTAAAGTTATTAATTTTCTCGGTAATAATATACTAAACTCACCAGCACCAAGTCGTCTAACATTTTTTCCATCTAGTCTCAAAAGTCTGTTTAATATTTTGAATTCCAACACGATTATTGTGCATAAATTCAATCCAGATTATTGAATAAATTATTTTAAATTCAATTTGTTAGAAATTAAACTGATAAACAGTGATGCAAGAAGAGCTCAAACACACACAATCAGAGGAGCTAGCGTCCTCTTTCTGGCACTACTGCTCTTAAGAGAAAAAATATATACTTTGAATTTAATGTTAATGCTAGTTCTTTATATACATTTCATGGCAAATATTGAATACGAATTAAATTAAGAGTGGCAAGCAAAGAAATTAATGTAACAAGAAATTTGATAGATCCAACCAGAAAATATTAATCAAATTCTTATAATAAAATGCCTTCAATCATATACGTCTTGTTGATACAATCAACCAATTTTTCTCAGTATAAAAAATGATTGGGTAAAACACATTAGCTTATTGCGTTGCAATCTTTATTAAGATTATTTTCGAATAATGCCTCGAAATATTCCAATATTCGGAATATAAATTGGATGTTTGAATTTAGAGAGATTATGAAAAACGAGGAAGAGAGAGATTATACGATACATTCGCGATATATATGACGTTATAATTGCCGTTCCTGCGGATTTATTTTTCAACTTACTTCACCCTCTTCTGTTACATCTTTTTATTGTGTTTACGTCGCTTCTATATCAACCTCTCACGATGTATCACGTTGGCGTAGCGCTTTGTCAAGCTGTCAGCCAAGTATTGCTTTCTATGAGGAGCTACCGTCTCGCCAATACTCCAATTCAATATCGTTACATTCCCGACAACTCGACAATCTCTGTCCTACGTTTTTCGATTATTCGGCAGATCCGCGAAATAGAAATATACACGTACGTTCCGTTCTTTTATTCGAATTTTCGCGCACGATACGCGATGAAGAATCGCGATTCACCGATGTTTTGGGTGGAGGACAAGTTCCGTCGTTGATTAAATTTACATTCCGATTACAGGTACGTGTAATATGGAGAAGATGGTATCTCTCGCTCTTTGCATGCTTTAGAAATGGGTTATTCATCGCAAGCGGAGAACTACTCGGTTTATTAGATGTTTGCTCGACGCGATTCTTTCTTTAGTCTCTTTTCGCGTCTCCTCGTAACGTGTCTCACGAAGGTCTCGGGGAGAGAGAACTCATGGTTTTTACATATATACGTCGAGTCTGAGACTTCGCGTTGTACACGAAACGAATCCACTTACCGACGCGGCATACTCTTCCTATTTCCTTTCGCCCGAACGAGATGTTTCCAACGAGATTCGATGCTTTTCCAAAGGGATTTTTTTGTCATTTATAATATATACACCCGTTACGTATATACGCGACCGAGCGCGAGTCGGGCATAAATATGTATTCGTATACAAGTCACTTTTCGAAAGGACCGAGACTCGTTCGGAGATGAAGGAAGCGGGGGGGGGGGAAAAAGAGAGAATTAATCGCGAGTCGCGCGGATTCTTCGGCGCTTGAACATTTTCGAAAGCGTCGCGCCTTAATCCTTCAGCAGAGTTAAATCCGGAATTTTAAGAATTCCGCCTCCGCCCCCTCTTCCATCACCGCCAACCGTCGTAAGTCTCTTTTCTATCTGCCGCCCTTAAGCGAGTTCCTTGTCCCCGACCACGACGTTGCGGCGTCCAGGCGCATCCTGGACAGGAAATTAAAAAGGACCACCCGCGGATGCTGCTCGCAATCTCACGAAATTCCGAGACGAGAGCGATGATGCGAGACTCGTACTTTGCGCAGCTGCATCTCGAACGAACAGCGACTTCCTCGATCGATATTCGGATACGTCGAATGAGATTGGTTATTGCAGAAAGAGAATTGTTTTCCTTTTTTTTTCTTTGCTCTCCTTTATGTGTGTCGGTAACCCCTTTTTCCTCCTTTCGCGACGCATTCGAGAGAAACGGTGGCCGTCTAATATTTGCGTTCCGTCATTTCGATTATACAATGTTAATTATTTTAATAATTCACTTCATTTTTATTATTAAAAATGAGCATCTTGTAGCGCAATAATATTTAAACTTGTGAAATTATAATACTTCTTTTTGTATTTCTTTTTTTTTATATTTCTCTTTTTTTCGCCGGTGTATGGAATTCTCTCGAGTATCTCGAACTCATATATAAAGATATAAAGCTATTTACATCCAGGTGCATTCATCTTTTATGTATTTCGTATTTCTTTTTGGGCCATCGCGTTTTCTCGTAGGCATTATAAAAATAGATACATGCACGCTCGTGTTACGTTGGTAGGAAACAATGGATCTAAAATTAAAAGTGGGGAAGAAATAAGTAATGCTGAACCCGAATATGCGGAATATTCTTTGTTAACGAACAAGGGATAAAATTAAAGACATTAAATGTGAATCGTATAAGCTTTTAAGTGATAATGTAATTTTCGCGTTCTATTATTAAAAGAAATTTCTATTATTAAAAGAAATGAGATACACAACACACATATAACTATTCTAATAATAATTTTCTAATAATTTTTCAGATCTGTGCAACATCGTCGCGTCAAATCCACAACCGAATATGGCAAGCATGAAGAAATCACGTCAGGGGTGAGTCTGTCTATGATATATTTTTTATTGTAGGGGGGAAGGAAGAGAAAGAGAGAATTTTACAACTCTTGCATCGTTTGTATAATATTACGCTCCATTTTAAATATGTATTGATTGATTATTTCTAATAATTCTCCGCCTTTTCTGGCAGACGTAATATCTTTCTCTACAAAATACACGTATACAATACACTCTTTTCAATATTTTGAGAAATTACATGTTATTAGAAATATTATATATTATTAGGGAAATGATAAAAAACATCGGGAAATTATTTATCGTTCTCGATAATCTCGTGCAGGCGCGTTAAACGCACGATTTTGCGAATCGTCAAGCACGTATTTGCGCCCCTTTTTCGCCGCGTGAAATGCGGCGAGCAAACGTTCTCTCTTCTCTTTCTTCCCCCCCTTTTACGGCCGCCGATCGTTGCATCTGCCGCGCAGATATCGTCGAGGTTGGGGCGGTACCCCGGCTGTTATTTCCAAGTCTTTTTGCGTAGGCGCTTTGCGTGGTATCTGCCTACCTACCATTATCCCGACGTCTTTGTCCGACCGGTTTCGCGATGCCTCCCCGTCCTTGTTCCGTCATCTCGCGCAAAAAAACGATATGCTTGCACGTGTCCCTCTCGCGATCATCGCCGGGTTTCGTCTGCCGAAATCGGCAAACGATCTCGAGAACCGCTCTCTCTATAAAACACTTATAAAAATCGCGTTAATTCCCTCAATATCGAACTTAATCGACGCGATTTATTCCGATATATTCCTATTTGCGTCATGCGAAATTTGCTCGCTAAAAATATTAATTTATCGACTTCGAAACATTTATATATAATATTATGAGCGATTGAAATAGAATTATTCCAGATTTCTTGAAGCTCAAATATAATAATAGGCAGGAAATAATAATAGTCTAATAACCGAATCTAGCGATTAATGAAATATTGATATTGATATCTATATAAACACTCATCAGCCATGCATTAATGCATTTTTCAAGATGTAATTACTCCCTCGATTATAAACGACTTATCATCGCTCGTATTTCGGTCGCAAGTAGACACGATCGGTATTGAACCCCACAGAAACGGAGGGGAGGGCGGGCATGAAAGCAAGGGGTGCGTTAGGGATCGAGGGCGCGAGCAGACGGAATGCCATAAATCTCATGTAAATTCGGTCTGCTTGATTTGCAAGCACAATGCCGGACGATTCTACCATCCGCCTCGGGCCGTCCGTGTGTTCCCCTCTGACCGTCTACGCACTCTCCGATCGAGTTTCGCGACGACGACGTCGTCGGCCATACTGGATGTCCCAAAATGTGCGCTTCTTATGCCTCGAATTGCGATTAATTATGTAATAATGGGTGTGATAAATTTTTATGGAGCGATTATTCTGTACACTGTTCTGAGATAATTATACACATAAAGATTACGTGGAGGATGATGTCGTCGGCAATACTGGGTGTCCCAAAGTGAATTGCGGATGATTAAATTTTTACAAATAACGGGGTTGGTAAATTTTTATCGAATGATTTTTCTGCACAGGACGTGATACATGATGTAGAGATTATATATATGACCAAAAATATCCGGATAAATGTGAATTTATACAAGAACTTTTTTAATGCGGATTTCGAAATTCATTCTATCGTTGCTGATAAACTTGCTAAGTAGGTTAGAGGTAAAAATGTTTTTTCGAAAAAAATTTACAGTTAAATAAATTTCAACATTTATATTTATATAACTGGCAGCTACAATAAGTTTCAAATAGAGAGAGAGAGAACATTTATAAATTTATCATTCGTTCTGAAACTGCACTAGTGATTCAATATATACATTGTGATTCATATAAGGAGATTAATGGGAATATCTTGTGGCGCGAGGTAGACGTGATAGATTTCTATTAAAATTTTCATCAAATAGATTGTATTTTCACATAAATATGTATGATACTTTTTGGCGCTTTTATTAATATCTACATAAATCATCAATCATTCATGTATAAGTGAATTTAATCGAGAAATGTTATCGCCAAAAATCACGTATACATAATACATGTTATTATGTCATTACTTATTCCACAAATTATATAAGACATTTAAAAATAAATACACTGAGAAAAATACTGGTTGCATTAATTAGAATTCTGGAATTAGATTCAATCAGTATGTCTGTTGAAAAATGGACGAACCAGAATTCTTGTAGGAATTACCAGACGAATCTGATTAATTTCTTCCTGTTAAATTTACCAGATTTTCTAGTTAATAATACTAAACTCGCCAGCGTCAAGTCGTCTAAAATTTTTTCCATTTAATCTCAAAAATCTGTTTAATATTTTGAATTCCAACAATTATTGCATAAATTCAACGATTATTGCATAAATTCAATCCAGATTATTGAATAAATTATTTTAAATTCGGTTTGTTAGAGATTAAACTGATAAACAGTGATGCAAGAAGAGGATGCAGCTCAAACACACACAATCATAGAGCTAGCGTCCTCTTTCTGGCACTACTGCTCGTAAGAGAAAAAAAATATACTTTCGATTTAACGTTAATACTAGTTCTTTATATACATTCATGGTAAATATTGAATACGAATTAAATTAAGAGTGGCAAGCAAAGAAATTAATATAACAAGAAATTTTATAGATCTAGCCAGAAAATACTAACCAAATCTTTATAGTAAAATCCATTAATCGTTCCAGTTATAAAAAATCGAGTTATCATGACAGCTAGAAATTCTTGTTTGATTTAACCAAAATCATATACGTCTTGTTGGTACAATCAAATTTTTCTCAGTGTATAAATGCATATGAAAAAACGATCACTTTCCTCGAGATTCGTGTGACATGTATGAATTTTTATTCCACAAATTATGCAAGACATGCACTCGCAAACGCATACATGAATGTCTGACCCATATATAGCCGACTCTAGTTTTTCTCTTCTTGCGCTATAACGCCTATAACGTCTTTCGCTCTGATGTTAACGCCGATCGATCCGTCGTCGAGCGGTCAAGCGGTTTCGGACGTAATTATCGCGGCGAATCGCGCGGACGCGAGAAGCAGCGGCGGAACCAGCTGATGTGGCTGTGGCGGAACAACGGCGCGTTAACGTGGAAACGACTCGTGGCGGACGTGAAGCGTCGAGACGGAACCCGCCGCAGTATTTCACGTCGCGCTCAGGACGACCCGCGGCGTCGGCGGCCATTATATTAACGATCCTCTCGACACGTTAAGAAACCCAGAGGTTCTCGCTCCGATCCCCTGAAATATCGGTGGCCGGGAAAATTGTCGGCGACGACGACGCTTCCGTCCTCGTCGTCCAGGCACGCGAGGTCGTCGACGGCCAGCGATATGCCTCGCTTCGTCCGCCGTTTATCGTGTCCCCGGGCATCGTCGTCGTCCTTTCGTGTCGGTCACGGGGAGGGACCCCGGGTTCTCTCGGGGGAGGACGATCTTCGCCGGTGTCTTCCGGTCCGTCACGTTCGCGACGAACGCAATTCCGAGTGGGCTCCGCTCGTCTCGTGCAACCCACCGGAATTCGTAGCGCGCAACTTGGAGTCCTCCTTCGTCGCGGGACAATCCGCATTCTCGTCAATCTAGAGTAGCTTTGTAACTCGGGCGTCGTAGGAGGAATCATTTCTCTCTGATTAGCCGGGGTTGTTACGTCTGACGACCGGTCGAGAGTTAATTTCGAATGGCTCTCGCTTTCGCGAGAACTTAGTCCGGATTTCGTAACGCTTTGCGTTTAGCAATGAAACTCGAAACGATGCGACGAGAGAACGAGAGAGGGTAAACTTTCCGACGTAAAAGAGATCGATTCGCTTGAATAAAAATATAGCCGAAGGAGGGAAAAGTCGCAAATCTTGCCCCGAGATACTTTGCGTTTTATTTGATGAACGAGGAGCTTGAGACCAAAGGAATTAAGTTTGTCAAAGCGTGAAAAGTTTCAAGTACCATTAAATAGCAAACACTACTTTGGAATCTATCGAGGTAACCATTCATTTTTAGAAAGTCAAGTTTCATCAGTTGGACTCTTCCAGTTGAAGGAGTCGATGCGAATCGACGAGATACTAAATTTCATTTGGGAGGTCAAAAGGGGGACAGAAAAACATGACGATTTCTGTTATTCGGCGCATCCCGAGTAGAAATTCAATCATTTTTCAGCTAGTGACTGGCCGGGAATTCTAGTCACTAGCTAATTTTTGGCCAATTTAACTAGCCAGAAATTGACAGGTTTGGAAGATGCTTGCTTCGATAATAACTTGACAGTAAAATTAGTCAGTTGCTGAATAGTTTATGAATAGTTCGGGAAAAAAATTTATTTATTTATATATAATTATGCATGGATTTTGATTTGATTTAATTATATAGATGAAATTAGATATTAGATATTAGATATTTTAAAATTAGATATTAGATATTAGATATAGATTAGATTTTGATTTGATTTAATTATATATATATAGATATTAGATATTAGATATTTTAAAATTAGATATTAGATATTTTTGATTTTATATAATTAGATTGCATTATGCATTCTTTATAATATATAAAACATTTAAATATTTTTTATATAAAACATTTTACAATCTTATATGTCGCCCTTCGAGTTTTCGTTGAACAGAAACTATCTACTATTTACTTACTATTTTTTCTTGTCTAGTTTCTGACCAAAAATAAATCAAGAAACTACGGCCAGTATTTTCAAAGTTCGCTAAATAAAAATTGTTTAGCGTTTATTTACGATTTTTTCTTGCCCAGTTACTGATCAAGAATGAGTCAAAAATTATAGCAGTATTTTCGCTGAACAGAAATTACCCAGTATTTACTTACCATTGTTTCTTACCTAGTTTTAGGACAGTAACTGGCTATGAAACAATAGTCAGATATTTCTGGCTAGTTTTCGAACATTTACTGTCTAATTAATCTTAACCAGTCAAAACTGTTCCATTTCTAGATAGTGACAAGTTTTGAAGAAGAATTTTCAGAAATTTT